AAAGCGTCTGAAGTTGACGTAGGGCAGCAGTGTGTGTGTCCCAGTGCATTTCATATAGATCTGCAGCTGTTGGCGACACTGGGGGAGGCCTGGGGGAGTCACCTGCCGCCTCCACTTTCCAGGTCAGATCGACAACCGGAGTAAACTACGGAACATCATTGAGCTGCGCTTGGCCGGCCTGGATATTACAGACGCTTCCTTGCGGCTGATCATAAGGCACATGCCTCTGCTCTCCAAACTCAATCTTAGTTACTGTAATCACGTGACAGATCAGTCTATTAACCTGCTGACCGCGGTCGGAACCACCACGCGGGATTCATTAACAGAAATTAATTTATCAGGTGAGCAACACGAGCACAGGGGCCGGGGGAGGGTGGGAGTTGCCCAGTGGCATTAGGTGTGTGTGAAACACTCACCAGTGGCAGTGGGTTTACCCAGCTCTGCCCCTGGGTGAGTTCCCACCCTCCCAGGACTCCCCCATTTAAGCAGCTGGACGTGTAATGACCCCAGCCCTTCCCCGGGCCCTCTGCCAGCCCCCAGCCCTCCCGCCTCCCACTTGGGGGCCGCATTTTGTACCTTGCTCGTCCTCCCCGGGGGATTTTCCAGCATCCTTGGGCGTGCTTTGCTTTGAGCCGTTACCTGAGAGAGTTGGGGGGGATCAGGGAAGGGCGGTGGGGCTGGCTGGGGCACGTCGCTGTTGGCCCAGCACGGGAGGAGCCAAAAGGACCCACGGCGGTGGGGATAAACCCTCCTGGTGCTGGAGAACAAACCCAGACCTGCTGTTAAATTTCTCCCCGTTCTGTTTTGTTGGGTTTTTCCCCGGCAGACTGCAATAAGGTTACTGACCAGTGCCTGTCTTACTTCAAACGTTGCGGAAACATCTGCCAGATCGACCTGAGGTACTGCAAGCAAGTGACGAAGGAAGGCTGCGAGCAGTTCATCGCAGAGATGTCAGTGAGTGTTCAGTTTGGGCAAGTGGAAGAAAAACTTCTGCAGAAACTGAGTTAGTCAAAGGACACGTGTAAATACTGGGGTGGGGGGAGGGGAAGGGACTAAGAACATGTAGGGATTTTATTTTCAATTGGGAACTTGGAATATTGGAAACTACCACAATTGGATTTTACAACTCTTGTCGAGAACAACATGAAACTACCCGTGTTAAGGATTTCAACTTGTGCCACTAATTCAGTCTACCTGGGACGTCCTGCACTGGCTCTTATGCAAATTCATAAGGCGACTGTTACTGATGAGAATTGTTCACACCCGGAGGACGACTGATCTCCAAGAAATACTGTTATTTAAAGTACCACAGCATGTGCTTGGTAGTGTAAATTTGATTTCTGCTTTTCATTTCTTGAAACAAACAAACAAACAAAAAGTTGGTGTCATTAAAGTGGACCACGCACTGCATTTCTGCCTTCTTAACACGTTTTGTTTTGTTACATCTACATTATGCAGAACTATTTTTGTACAAAAATTGTTTAAAAATTATTTATGCAATGTTTGAATGCATTACCAGTGTTTCGGTTTTGATTGCCAATTTTTATCTTTACTTATGGTAGGCGAGAACTTAACCTATACTTCGTAGACAGTATCTATCTACAAATGTGCCCAGGTCAGGAAAAGTAGGTTAATACTTTCAACTTAAAGCATGTTTTAATGGAAGTTTATATCCTGCTTTGTATACTTCAGGAGTGACATAAGCATGTTGTGGAAATAAGGTGTAAATTATAGTTGAAGTAAAACACTTTTATCTGTATAGAAATCACCTTTTTCTCAAAATTTTAAAAAAAAAAATTCCAATTTCAGCTTTTGCACATAGGAGGGTTTCACTCTGTAGCATGAGCTCTTGTACTCAATATAAAATTAATTTATACAGTGAGTCCAGCCGTAGAATAAATGGTCAAACGTAGTCTCTCTTTCTTTGAAGTGTGAGTTGAGTTCTCATTTAAGGTTTATAACATGGTTATTTCCTGATTGTAAAATTCTGCATTCATAAGTGCCATTGTTGTACGGTGTTGTTTTCGTAGACCTTCCTGATGCGGTTTTACCTTTGTTGAATTTGTATAAACAATTGTACAAAAACAGGTGTTGGCTCTGTGGGTTTCTGTTCCAACGGGGC